AGACAGAAGAACCTCCTTCTTCATGTGGTTAACCTATGGAACTCCCTCCCACAGGAGGCAGCGATGGTCACCAACCTGGATGGCTTTTAAAGAGGATGAGACAAATTCACAGAGGAGGAAAGGGATATTAATTTGATGCTGAACTGATTTTAGAATGAATTGATTTCAGAATGTATTTTAATTAATTGATTGTGATTTTATGTAAACTGTGTTACTTTTACTGTTGTTAGCCACTCTGAGCCCGGCTTCGGCTGGGGAGGGCGAGATATAAATAAAATATTATTATTATTATTATTATTATTATTATTATTATTATTATTATTATATTGAAGGCTACGAGCCTGGATGGCTATGCTCTGCCTCCACAGTCAGAGGCAGCGGTGCTTCTGAAGACCACAGGAGGGGAGAGATTGGCCTGATCCTGATCCAGCACGCTCCTCTTATGTCCTTGTGCTGGACGTGGAGCTGGGAAGGGGGAGAGACAACTCAGCTTCAGATGCTCACTCTCTCCCCGACAATCGGCTTCTCTCAACCTGGGCTGTGGCCTACCTCACAGGGTTGTCGCAAGAGAAGCGGGGGAGAACAGGGCACACGCTTTGGAGGAAACCGTAATAAAGAAATGCAAAAAGAGCAAGCCGCCGCCTAGAAGCACAGAGTTGAGGAGCCCCTCAGAGGTCCTCTAGCCCACCCCTGTCAGCCCCCTGCTTAAGACAGGACGCAACCACGGCAGCATTCAAATCTGCAACCTGCCGTGAAGGTTTCACTGGGTGACCTTGGGCCACTCGCTGCCTCTCAGCCAAAACTACCTCACAGGGTTGTTGTGATTCTGCCTGTTGTTGTTTAGTCGTTTAGTCGTGTCCGACTCTTCGTGACCCCCTGGACCAGAGCACGCCAGGCACTCCTGTCTTCCACTGCCTCCCGCAGTTTGGTCAAACTCATGCTGGTAGCTTCCAGAACACTGTCCAACAATCTCGTCCTCTGCCGTCCCCTTCTCCTTGTGCCCTCCATCTTTCCCAACATCAGGGTCTTTTCCAGGGAGTCTTCTCTTCTCATGAGGTGGCCAAAGTACTGGAGCCTCAGCTTCAGGATCTGTCCTTCCAGTGAGCACTCAGGGCTGATTTCCTTAAGAATGGATACGTTTGATCTTCTTGCAGTCCATGGGACTCTCAAGAGTCTCCTCCAGCACCAGAATTCAAAAGCATCAATTCTTCGGCGATCAGCCTTCTTGATGGTCCAGCTCTCACTTCCATACATCACTACTGGGAAAACCATGGCTTTAACTATATGGACCTTTGTTGGCAAGGTGATGTTTCTACTTTTTAAGATGCTGTCTAGGTTTGTCATCGCTTTTCTCCCAAAAGAGGGTCTTTTAATTTTGTGACTGCTGTCACCATCTGCAGTGATCATGGAGCCCAAGAAAGTAAAATCTCTCACTGCCTCCATTTCCTCCTCTTCTATTTGCCAGGAGGTGATGGGCCAGTGGCCATGATCTTCGTTTTTTTGATGTTGAGCTTCAGTCCATATGATTCTGCCCAAACACCTCTAACTAAATCCCCACCCTCTGCCAGTTCAGCAGGACATTCTCTGCCTGCCTCCATGTAAATCACACTGCAATTAATTTTTGCTTATTTTATTTTAAAACCATTTTTATCGTTTTTCAATCCAACAGTAGACTTACAGGGAAACCGGCACTACCAGTGCACCCGTGTTATCGTTTTCTTGCAATACACTTGGACTAACATGAAATACAATGGATGTATCAAGTGGGCTGTTTATGTGTTTTTATAGTATTTTGCCTCCCTCGTAGTAATTTTCTTGAACAGAGGCATCAGCGATGCAGCAGGATCCTCCGGTTCCCCCCGCTGGCCATTAGGCTTTCTCTAGAATCTATTGACATCCATAAGGACTAGAAACTTAGTGGCTGCAAAAGGCCGCCTACATGCATGGCCCTGACTCTATGGACCGCCCCCAGGGCTGAAGGCCACTAGCTGTGAGTGGCCTGCGGTCATCACTCTCGTGGGTGCAGTTACATTGGGGGGGGGGAGCAATTTTATTCTGGAACGACAGCCCACGGCAAAAAGGTGACACCCCTTCTCAGCTATGCCACAATCCTGATCTGGACACTTGAAATTACTCAAAAACCGCATTTGAGATAATGTGCAGTTTTACCTGAACCTTAAGGTAAGGAATTTGGGGGGGGGCAGGAGAAGCAGAGTTGGGCAGTGGAAACAGCAAGCACTAAAGACCAGAGGAGTACCCTCATGATGATGATGATAATTTATTATTTGTACCCCGCCCATCTGGCTGCGTTTAAAATTAAAATTAAATTAAAATTAAAATTAAATTAAAATTAAAATTAAAATTAAATTAAAATTAAAATTAAAATTAAAAATACATTAAAATACATAATACTGCAGCCTTCAGCCATGTTTGTTTCAGATGTTTCTCCTTGCTTATTTTATTTATTTCATAAAATTCGTACACCTCTGGATTGCAAAAATACAAAACAAACCTTCAAAGCATTTTACAGAAAAAGGATAAAATATTTAAATGACAGATCATAGAGTTGGAATTGACCCAAGGCTCATCTAGTCCAGGCATCCCCAACCTTTGGCCCTCCAGATGTTTTGGACTACAATTCCCATCATTCCTGACCACCGGTCCTGTTAGCTAGGGATCATGGGAGTTGTAGTCCCAAAACATCTGGAGGGCCAAAGGTTGGGGATGCCTGATCTAGTCCAACCCCCTGCAATGCAACAAAAAGCCACAATAGCCACAAAAGTTTTAAAACATTTAAAAAAAGCAATAAATTAAAAACAGGCTAAAACATGCTTGGAATCACACAAAAACCACATTTAATGTAATGTGTGACTTTAACTGCCCCTTAAGGGAAGGATTTGTGTGGGGAATGGGGGGGGGGCAGGAGAGGCAGAGTTGGGCAGTGGAGGGAGAAGAGAGAGCACAGTCAGGGATAAGTAGTAGAGATCCTTTTAAAAAAAAAGCGCAGCAAAGACAATGAGGACTAGAGACTTGAAGCCAAGACAAAACTGGGAGAAGGAGCCAGCGCAGGGAATATGAAGGAGTAGGTGACGGTCGTGACGGGGGCCTCAAAGCCAGCCACACTTTCCACCCAGGACAACGTGGGAGGCTAAGAGTTAACTGCAAGGGAACGGGAGGATTTGTGGGTTTTAAGGCTTGCAAATCCCCTCAGCTATGGGGCCTCAACAAAGGCAAGCTATTTTCCTTGTGGGTTGCAGGGCTTTTCTTCTGCATGCTCCCCACAGCAAAAACCCTGGTGCTGCAACACACACACACACACACACACCATACTGAATACAACACCCACCATACTGAACTTTGATTCTTAAATCAGGTACGATATATGGGGGACAGGTGTCGTTTTTTCTAATCAGAAACCTTGAAAAAAGAAAAGAAAAAGCGGTGTGGTAGCTCATTATGGCCACCAGGTGGGGCAAGGAGCCCAGATCACAGGAAGTGGGTGCCCTCCTAACCTGAGATTTTAAAATGAAGACCAGGCAGAAAGCGATTTCCAGGTCTAGGAAGCTGCCTTATACCATCTACCTCAGTATTGCTTACACTAACCGGCAGCAGCTGTCCGGGATTTCAGGCGGGGAAATTCTGGTCCTCGTGCTTCTGTAATAAGGACTGGTTTTAAAGAGAAGCTGCTTTACACTGAATGAGAACCTGAGTCCACCCAGCTCACTATTATTGCCCACACGGACGGGCAGCTACGTCCACAGCCCCACCAGGAGATGCCGGGAATCGAACCTTGGACCTTCTGCATGCAGAGGTCTGGCCCAAGGCCTCAGGGCCAGATGAAGAAGAGGAAACCGCAAGCACTCAAGACCAAGGGGGTCCCCTCGTACCGCAGCCTTCAGACACGTTTCATAAAATCCATACACCTCTGGATTGCAAAAATGCGAAACAAAATCTCAAAGCAGTTTACAAAAAAAGGTAAAATATTAAAACAACATATTGAGTCGGAAGGGACCCAGGGTCATCTAGTCCAACCCCCTGCAATGCGATGAAAACAATTAAGCACAATAGTTTAAAACATTCAAAAAATTAAAATAAGCAAGAAGAAAAAAATTAAAAGGTGCTACATTCCAGATAACTGGGTAGGCTTGCCGAAACGGAAAGGTTTTAATCAGGCACAGAAAAGAGGACAGTAAAGTTTCCTGCCTGGTGTCAATAGGCAGAGAGTTCCAAAGGGCAGCTGCTGCTGCTGCTGCTGTTGTGGGCGATGGAGTTCTTACAAATGCAGAACGGGTATTTTGTGGCATCTGTAACAGATTGAAGCTGTAGAGAGAGCATTAAACTGCTTATGGTAACCGCACTCCGTCGGGTGGGTCTAGGAGGAGAGGCTTCCCAGACACTGGCCAATAGCACCCTGCAAGCGTGGCTCTGGTGCCTTTCCGTAATAAGGTTTGAGATCATATTTCCACCTCACCTGCCTTTCACAACATGCAAAGCAATTTTGCAAAGTCCTTTACACCTCCGCAACACCTTATCAGTTCTTGGGTTTTAAAAATGCAAATGTCCCACAACCCACTCCAGCACGAGAGAATCGCTGAATTAGACACATTAAATAAATAAAACAAACAGAGCACCAGCCAGGTTTTAAAGATGGGCCTGCTTCTCCCATGCTGAAATTTAAACAGCAAAAAGGGGGGGGTCACCCATCACGTCTGCCCCCCACCTCCACAGTCTCTCCCACAGAAATGACTTCTTCACACAGAACATAGTTAAAACTATGGAACTCCTCTCCCAGCCGGGCTGGAAAATTACTCCCTGCCTGGAACCCTGGACAGCTGCTGCCGGTCAGTGCGGACAATACTGAGGTAGGTGGGCAAGCAGCTTGACTCGGTAAATGTGAAGCACTTCAAACGCCGTACGCTATCATAGCAACGCATAATAAACCATCACCAACAGTAACAACAGGGGGGGTGGCATTTTTGGCCAGACCCCCAGCCACTTACCACAGTCCCCAGTCCATCCGCTGGGGTGGGCGAGAGGCTCTCGCACCCGTCTCCGCCGTTCCCGCCCTCTTGGCCGCGGGCGCTGAGCTGAGGCGACATGGTGGGCGACTCGTCGATGTAGGGCATGGTCTCCGAGCCCCCAGGGGGGGCCTTGGGCTCCTCGTTCCCCTCAGCGTCATAATCCTCCATGCCATAGTTGAAATCTGTCAACAGGACCAGAGAGAGAGGGCCGGTCACTCAAAGTCTGACAGGGAGCTCTGGGCCAAGATGGCAGCAAGTCGTGAGAGCGCTGTGTATTGTTTTCATTCATTTATTTACTTATTGCATTTCTATCCCGCTTTTTTCACGAAGGAGCTTGAGGCGGCGTACAGTGGTACCTCAGGTTACATACGCTTCAGGTTACACACTCTGCTAACCCAGAAATAGTGCTTCAGGTTAAGAACTTTGCTTCAGGATGAGAACAGAAATTATGCTCCGGCGGCGCAGCGGAGGCCCCATTAGCTAAAGTGGTGCTTCAGGTTAAGAACAGTTTCAGGTTAAGAATGGACCTCCGGAACGAATTAAGTACTTAACCTGAGGTACCACTGTACATCGTTCTCCCATTCCACATTTAATCCCTCACAACAACCCTGTGAGGTAAGGATAGAGGCTGAGAGGCAGGCCCTGTGGCCCAAGGTCACATATCCAGTGAGCTTTATGCCCAAGAGGGGATTCGAACCCATGTCTCTCCCAGATCCTAGTCTGACACTCTAACTGCCACGGTGGCGCAGCACTACTGCCCGGATGTTGTTCTTGATTTGTCACCAGATTCTGTCTTAAAATTTTAAGTGTCTATTCGCTTATCGCATTTATAAATTTCAAATTTATTGTTGTACATTGTTTTAAATGTTTGTTTTCCTTCTGGGATTGTACCCCCAAGTGTGTTTTATAAGCTGGTCTCCGACCATAATAAATTATCTCTCTCTCTATTGATTTGTCGTAAATTGGCTTGAGTTACTTCTGTTAAAAAAAGAAGTGACTAGTAAGTTGAATAATAATACTGAAATTTGTTGCAAGTCGAGGACTAATACATTTATTAAGAAAATCATAACCATACAGGCAAACCCCATTTATGTGCATTCAATATGTGTATGACTCTATGTGTGCACATTGCACCAATCCCAGAAGTGAAGAGTCCCGAAAACATCACAAAAAGGGGCAGAACGGGGTGTTTGCAGGATTTCCCAACCGTGTTTCAAATATACGCAATTTCACTTAAACGTACGGTGCCTTGGAGCGTCAAGGTGGGGTTGCCTGTATTCTGAGCCCCCGCTGTAAACCTCTCACACCTGAATTTTCACCTGGCTATTAAAGCCCCTTCCCCCTTTTGTAAGCATCGGTGGGCAGGGTTCTGATGTCACTTCCCCTAGCACCTCACTTTTCCCGGGCAGCACCCCTTATAGCAGCTAGCTAGCCTGGGAGAAAAGCAATGACAATGACAAACCTAGACAGCATCTTAAAAAGCAGAGACATCACCTTGCCAACAAAGGTCCATATAGTTAAAGCTATGGTTTTCCCAGTAGTGATGTATGGAAGTGAGAGCTGGACCATCAAGAAGGCTGATCGCCGAAGAATGGATGCTTTTGAATTCTGGTGCTGGAGGAGACTCTGGAGAGTCCCATGGGCTGCAAGATGATCAAACCTCTCCATTCTGAAGGAAATCAGCCCTGAGTGCTCACTGGAAGGACAGATCCTGAAGCTGAGACTCCAATACTTTGGCCACCTCATGAGAAGAGAAGATTCCCTGGAAAAGACCCTGATGCTGGGAAAGATGGAGGGCACAAGGAGAAGGGGACGACAGAGGACAAGATTGGTGGGACAGTGTTCTCGAAGCTACCAGCATGAGTTTGACCAAACTGCGGGAGGCAGTGGAAGACAGGAGTGCCTGGCGTGCTCTGGACCAGGGGGTCACGAAGAGGCGGACACGACTAAAAGACTAAACAACAACAAAGCCTGCCATCACTAGGGGCCAAAACAGGGACCCTTCTCTGGCCAGGCCCTGCCTCGCCAACTTGCTGCTGATGTTCTTGCTGACACCTCCTGCCAGCCCCCCAGATGCCTCCTCCTAAACCTGCCAGCCCCACATGGTTCAGCCATCAAGTGGGGCTGATGCCAGTTGGGCAAAGGCTGCCCTGGTGGGTCTTACTCCAGACCGAAGCCAGGCAGAGGCGACTGAGCTATGCCCCATCCCACAGTCAATGGACATCTCTGGGAAAGGAAATGGGGGTTTCCTGCATGGCATGGACTCTTGTGCATTTATGAGCACAACTCAAAATGTTGGTGCTGACTTTTAAAGCCCTAAACGGCCTCGGTCCTGTATACCTGAAGGAGCATCTCCACCCCCGTCGTTCTGCCCGGACACTGAGGTCCAGTGTCGAGGGCCTTCTGGCAGTTTCCTCACTGCAAGAAGTGAAGTTACAGGGAACCAAGCAGAGGGCCTTCTCGGTGGTGGCACCCGCCCTGTGGAACACCCTCCCATCAGATGTCAGAAATAAACAACTATCTGACTTTTAGAAGACATCTGAAGGCAGCCCTGTTTAGGGAAGTTTTTAATAACTCATGTTTTAATGTATTTTTAACCTTCTGTTGGAAGCCGCCCAGAGTGGCTGGGGAGACCCAACCGGATGGGCAGCGTAGAAATACCATATTTTTCGCCCTATAGGACGCACTTTTCCCCCTCCAAAAATGAAGGGGAAATGTGTGTGCGTCCTATGGGGCGAATGCAGGCTTTCGCTGAAGCCTGGAAAGCGAGAGGGGTCAGTGCGCACCAACCCCTCTCGCTCTCCAGGCTTCAGGAAGCTATCCTCAAGCCTTGCGAGCCCGGCAGGAGTTCCTGCAGGCTCGCAAGGCTTGCGGGTGGCATCCTGCAGCCCAAAGCACGGGGCACGTTCCAGAGCACACCACAGGCTTCGGGCAGATATCGGGCAGCCACACAAGCTCGGGGGACAGCGGGGAGGCGGAGTGCCGCCATCCTGCTATTCCCCGACCTGGTTTGGAGGCTGGCTGTGGGGAGAAGCAAGCTTGTTTCTCCCATTGCCAGCCCCACCAGCTCGGGGGAGAGCGGGTAAGCGGAGCTCCGCCATCCCACTATTCCCCGACCTGGTTTGGAGGCTGGCAGTGGGGGAAAGCAAGCTTGCTTCTCCCCACCGCCAGCCCCACAAGCTCGGGGGACAGCGGGGCAAGCCGCTGCCCCACCGAGGCTAGGGAGGCTGTACCTGAAGGCAGAAGAGTGAGATGGAGCGCTCCGTCTCCCTCTTCTAGCTTGGGGATGGCTGCGGGGGGGGGGAATATTTCCCCCCCCTTGATTTCCCCCCCAAAAAACTAGGTGCGTCCTATGGGCCGGTGTGCCCTATGGGGCGAAAAATACGGTAATAAATTATTATTATTATTACAGTGGTACCTCAGGTTACAGATGCTTCAGGTTATAGACTCCGTTAACCCAGAAATAGTACCCCGGGTTAAGAACTTTGCTTCAGGATAAGAACAGAAATCGTGCTCTGGCGGCGCGGCAGCAGCAGGAGGCCCCATTAGCTAAAGTGGTACCTCAAGTTAAGAACAGTTTCAGGTTAAGAACGGCCCTCCAGAACGAATTAAGTTCTTAACCCGAGGTACCACTGTATTATGCACAGAGAGTCTGTGCCCAGACCCTGCTCTGCAAAAATAAGGCACCCAGATGAACACAATGCAGATGTGAGAAGACAAGAAAGTGGGTGGGTGCCAGCTGCCCCCCCGCCTCTCCCCCTCCCCAGAGGCGCCAACTCCTTCCTCTCACATTAGTGCATTATTACCTCCTGGAGCATCCCAGCCACCCACTCTGTACTCAGTCAGGCGTGCGGCCCCTGCTCGCTCCCCCTCCCCAACAGCCTGACACACTTCCCCACTTTTGCACAATTAACCACGCGTCCTTGAATCCGCCGCCTTGAAGCCCGATGCTTTGTGCCAATTTGCTGTGGCAAGGCCAGGCCAGGACTGGGGCGCTTCTTTCGAGAAGGTGGCTGCATTATAAGGAGGGAGGGAGAATAGGGGCCACCCCCCACATTAGAAAAAAGGATTGGGTTCCTGTGTGCTTGGGGGTGAAGCAGGAAACCCACCCGCATTCTGCAAAACAGATGGTTCAAAACAAAACACCCCACAAGCAACATCTCCACCTCGCATCAGTCGGGCCCAATGAAACATGTTGAGTTGCACTGCATAATTTATCCTGCCTCTGAAATTCATGGGGGTTGGGGGAGGCGGAAGGGATGGCCTGAATGTGTGAATGCAGATCCAGGTTTTTGCATTGCCAGAAGTCACCTCAAACGCAACAGCTTTGTCGTGGAAGCAGTTCCGATATTATTATTATTATTATTATTATTATTATTATTATTATTATTATTATTATTACAACAACCCTATCAATATTCTCTTTATTATTAATTATTGTTGTTATTACTTTGCAGTCACCTTACGGGGTCCTCGCTGCGGGATCACATTCACCCAGTGCTATACCAGCTGCACTGGCTCCCGGTGGAGTACAGGATCAGGTTTAAGGTGCTGGTTTTAACCTTTAAAGCCCTATACAACCTAGGACCCTCGTACCTACGGGACCTCCTCTCTTGGTATGTCCCACGGAGGACCTTACGGTCTTCAAACAAAAACATCTTGGAGGTCCCGGGCCACAGGGAGGTTAGGCTGGCCTCAACCAGAGCCAGGGCCTTTTCAGCTGTGGCTCCGATCTGCTGGAACGCTCTGTCACAAGAGACCAGGGCCCTGTGGGACTTGACATCTTTCCGCAGGGCCTGCAAGACAGAGCTGTTCCACCAGGCCTTTGGCCAGGGCACAGCCTGACCCCCTCCTTTGGCAATCCTCACAGAACTCTAGCCCAATGGTTGCCATAAATCTGATTGGAATTAATTTTATAATGAAATGATTTTATAATGTTTTATCATTTTACTGTTGTTAGCCGCTCTGAGCCCAGCTTCGGCTGGGGATGGCGGGATATAAATAAAATTTATTATTAATTATTATTATTATTATTATTATTATTATTATTATTATTATTATACCATCCTTCAACCAAAGATTTCAGGGCATTTCGCAAGATGAATTGTGGGAGTTGTAGTTCCAACCATCTGGAGGGCACCAGGTTGGTGTAGTAATTAAGGGTGCCAGATGTTAAGATCCA